AAGTTACCAGTTGGGACCTCTGTGGGTCGGACTTGTTTTTCCAGCACATCCCAGATGCTCAGTTGGGGGAATTCAGAGGCCAAGTCAACATCTTTAAGTCTTTATGTTCCCCAAACTGTTCCTGAACAATGTTTTGCAGTGTGGCAGGGAGCATTAACCTGCTGGAAAAGGTCACCAGGGAGAACTGCTGCCATGAAGTTGAGCACATAGTCTGTAATATTGTTTAGGTAGGTGGTTGTTGTCAAAGTAACATCCACATGAATGCAGGACCAAAGGTTTCCCAGCAGAGCGTCGCACTGCCTCCGCATTCGGCTGCCTTCAGGTAAACAACATACACTCATGATTTAAAACCTGATTCGTCAACTTCTTCCATTGCTCCACGGTCCAGTTCTAAAGCTCATGCACCCATTGGACTAAATCCGAATGGGCACTCTGACTAGTTTGCAGCTACACAGCCCCAAACCTAGCAAGCTGTGATTCACCTTTCTGTCATAGGCTGCTTAAGCTTTTTAGCATTTTGTGCCACAGTAACTCTCCTGTAGGACTGGATCACTCTCCAGACACATCAGGGAGCTTTGACACCTGTGATCCTGACACAACCTTCCTTGGATCACGGTTAGTAGATACTAACCAGCAGGAAGACCCCCACAAGACCTGCAGTTCTGGAGACGCTCTGACCCAGTCTTGTCATCACAAATTGGTCCTAGAAGTGACTTTTCACCTCCTTCCTAATGAATCCCACCTCTTGACTGGTGCCATTAAAAGGAGATAATTAATGCCGTTAGCCTCAGCTTACAGGGGTTTTAAAGCTGTGGAGGGACGGACTCACATCTCAGGTGTCTTATTGTAAATATGTAAAGTTTGCTTACAAGTGAGAGATTAGGGATCGTCCTGAAATAAATTCTCTGTGTCAGTATCAAACAAGAAAACAGGAGCTGGAGAAGGGAACAGGAAGAAATGGGAAACCTATATGTTTCTGAAATCAAATGCTCACTTTGATTATCATTGAAGCGTCCTGATTATTTTTCCTGTATAAAAAAATATCAGCATCAGCTATATAATTTGCACATAAACTCCTGAAGTTGTCAGGGCTTTGCATAATGCACTAACGATTAATTAAGCATTGTTTCTTATGCATCTATTCTGAGCTGCACATGTATGTCTGGCAGCTGATGAGCCGGAGAGCTGAGATCACACTAAAACTGCTTATCAGTGGGCTCCATGTCTATCAGCCACAAACATTCTGTGGGACTGAATGCAGTTTTCGCTTGTTTGTGCTGTAGTTTTGGTGGCGCTGAGCCTTTTAGGTGACATGTGGAAATGTCACAGGTTTGGATAAACTGTCTTTCAGCTCCGTGTTAATTTGCTCCAGGGTTGGATTTTGAATTTATTTGAACCTAAACTGAATGTCATGTGAAATGCTTTATATACTGTATTTGTTGATTGCGTGTAGGTCGACAACAATGTGACGCGTCACTTGGACAGCACTCTGAAGAGAGACGACTGGGACATTTTGATCCTCCACTACTTGGGCCTGGACCACATCGGTCACATCAGCGGACCGCACAGCTCGCTCATCCAGCCCAAGCTGCTGGAGATGGACGACATCCTGAAGAAGATCCACAGCGCTCTCATTTCAAAGGTGAGCTCCGCTGTTAATCTGTGTTTATACGCGATGCTGCTTTCCCATCATCAGCTCAGAATGTGTTTGCTTTTACAGGAGCAGCAGGTTATGTTATTGCATGTGAAAGAGTTGGCTAACATTGGCACCCAATTCAGCCTTCGTCCTTACAGCATCCTAGCATCGCTCAGCTTTTTGATTTGGGTTAAAGACTTCATTGCTGAGTCAATCAATCATTAACCCTCAACCCAGTTCCAGCCAGCAGACGGAAAAATGTTTTGACTAACTTTTGAAAGAAAATATTGGTTTTAAATTGATCATCAACCGATCTCTACATCCATATGGAGATGGATGCAACTGTTCCTCTGAATTAGCCGTTTGCTAACACGTCATCCTTTTCAATGGAAGATGTCTGTGAAGATTCTGAGTGGCTCCTTAAGGATATAAGGATCTGGAACTCACAACTAGTCAGTCAGAACTGATGAAGCCTCTTGGATGAGAGATGAAACGTCTTCAAGGAACTCAAGCAAGTCCAGTTGCTACGATTAATCTACCAGAATACCTTTTCAATGGAACTTAAACAAAATATTAAGCAACAACTTTGTTACTTTAGTCATTGTTATAGCCATTTGAAGTAACATCCGTCCATCCATCCATACATACATACATACATACATACATATATACATAAATCCAGTCTGAGCTTCTCTATAATGAGCGTTTGCTGCTTATGTGAAAGAAAACTGAATATCTTTAGATTTTGAAAAGACATAATGACAACAGTTTTCATGGCAGGTCACAGTAGCACTAAATCATATGCAAAACAAATCATGTTGCAGTTGTTTTGACAGATCTTGTGACGTTTGATGACATATGTCTAGTAGGAATGGTAATTTTTTGCGTTTGTTTTCCAGTGGGGGAAAAAAACAAGCATGTCCTGTTATCGTTGGTAGAATGTGATTTATAGGACGTAGCTTCTCGTTAGCACGACGGTGCTTCATTTGTACTGGTTGTGTTGTGACACATTTTACCTTCATCTCCTGCTGTTTGGATATTACACCCATTTATGTTGCGATTTCGATAGTATTTTGATTAATTATTCAGACCCAAGTCGCTCTAATTTGTCACAGTTTGTAGAGCAAACAGTTCATTTTTTTAAAAGGAGAAAACAATGGGCCCCTTATTAATATGAAATCAATCTTTCAGCACAACAGATGTACAAAATACAGCAGCAGATGTTAAAGCAGAGCTGAAAGTAGCTGTAGAGTTGGCGATATTGTGGCGTCTCCTGTTGAGCCTCTTTTACTCGAGTGCTGAACTCCCAACGATGAAAACCATGATACAAAGACGTCATTACAGAATGTAAATATATTGTCAAACTGTGGCTAAAAATGTAAAATATAAAATGAATATCTGAAGGATTACGACTGTAACCTCTCTGTTCTTTACCCACTCTATTTGGGGATATTGGCTTCTCTTCTAATGTTTGATTCCAGTTAATTGGACTGATATGCTCTGTATCAGCGGGCTTAATTTAGCTGTTGCTTGTCAACATCTGTTTCTCTCTATTAACATTCATTAAACTCGGCGTGCTTCAAATTTTCATTAGTAAATTTAGCATTTTGAGGGGGGTTGTTGTCATAATAGTAGATGTCATTACAAAGCAACGACAGAAAAATGTGCAGATATGAAGTAATGATCAACAGTTGATGTATTAACGTGATGCTATCTGTGAATTTTTAGGGTGATCAGTTCTGGGATGGCCATTTAATTACACCCATAATTTGTTCTGTTTCCAGCATTTATTATGTTATCTGTTGCAGCGACCCCGCAGATTTAATAAACTGTTAAGCTTTGGTGTTATCTTTAATTTTGTCCTTGATCAGCGTGCAGGTCTTGTGCCTTTGTTTTCCTCGGTGTGGTCTGACAGCTGCGCATGCATATTGTCTTCGCACCGTGTGTGTGTTGCTAATGGCCATTGTCTCGCTGTCATTCAGCTGCGCAGCTTGTATTTAGATTGTCAAGTCATGTCTTCATGATACTATAATCTCCCTCGTCGTTCTCATGCTTTCGTGTGTTTCAAGTGGCGAGTGTCAAGAGGCCAAGTGTGCGCATCCTTGTAAGCGCACCCTCTTTGCTAAAGACAGGGTATGTTTTGGATATGTTGATGCAACAATTCACCGCATCCCAAAAGTCGTTCTTTCTGACTCATTTAATCGTCTCTGTGTATGGTGGGAAATGGCAGCCTCGTGTGCGCTGCTCCCACTGAGCTTTTTGAATGAAATGTGTTTGAAAGTCTTGTTTCAGTCACATTAGTGAAAGCTGCGCCTGTTATTTTCTACAGCGGCATTGTGACCTAAATATAGACACGGCCCAGTAGGGTCCCGCAGGATGCCTCAGAAGCTTCTACAAAAACAACTATGTTTTCTTTGATCGGCACATGCTTTTAACATGTCGGGGTGGTGTGATCTTATCAAATCAGCCTGCTTCGCTGGCAGTGGGAGCGGGCTGCTGTTTGCTGCTGCATCCTGAAGCACTAAAAGCAACGTTGGCTCCGGCTGCAGGAGAGGAAAAAGGGGGTGTAGCATTCAAATGACAGCCCTCAAAGTTCCATTTGTAATGTGATGCGAGTCGCCCATTTCAGCGAGCTCATATTAGGGGCAGAGAAACGCTTTACCTGCAGCGTGGACAGACGCAACGCTCTCCTTTAAACTTGATTGGAAAACAGGACCTTCTGGTCACGGAGACCTCAGTCCGACCTTTGTGTTAATGGAGAGCGCATGGCCTCAATCTTCTCTTCTTGATATTTCAGATTTTAAGGTTGGTTTCTACTTTTCGGCTGTTTGAAGTGTGAAACTTCTTAAGTCTGACCTGCAGAAAAACCAAGTAGTCTGAGCCCTGTGCAGGAGACAAATTAAATGGATTTCTTATGGCTGCAAACATTTAGGCTGTTACAGTGAACAGCCGAAGTGAGTACACCCCTGTGCAATATCACTTGAATGTCAAATTAATCTAAATGGTATCGCCTCTCAGTGATTACATTATTTCAAAGTTAATAGAGTAGTTCCTCAAAAACAAATTCTGTAGAAAGACTTTATTAAAAATACAGGCCTCAAAACTCAATGCAACAAAAGTGAATACACCTGAGATCACAGACACGCAAGTTAAAAAGCCGATTTGTTCTCATCTTATGTTAAATCACTTTAATGTTTGTAACACCTACATTGTGTTATTTGAAAGAACTTAATTAAATTATGGAAATGATTTCCACCTAAAACTCACTTCAGTTATCCATCCATCCATCCACCCAGCTGACTCAGGGTGAAGGCAGGGGACACCCTGGACAGGTCACCAGTCTATCACAGGGCTACACTTAGAGACAGACAACCAAGCACACTCACATTCACACCTACGGACAATTTAGAATCACCAATTAACCTCAACATGTTTCTGGACCTGGAGAGAACCCACACTGCACGGGGAGAACATGCAAACTCCACGCAGAAAGATTCCGGTGCCCCCACTGGGACACGAACCGGTGACCTTCTTGCTGCGAGGCAACAGTGCTAACCAACTACGCCACCCTGCAGCCCCACTTCAGTTAGTTTGCCTTATATTAATAATATCATTTTGACTAGTGCAGGGTGGCGCAGTTGGTAGCACTGTTACCTCGCAGCAAGAAGGTTGCCGGTTCGTGTCCCGGTGGGGGCACCGGAATCTTTCTGTGTGGAGTTTGCATGTTCTCCCCGTGCAGCGTGGGTTCTCTCCGGGTTCTCCGGCTTCCTCCCACACAGTCCAAAAACATGCTGAGGTTAATTGGTGATTCTAAATTGTCTGTAGGTGTGAATGTGAGTGTGCTTGGTTGTCTGTCTCTAAGTGTAGCCCTGTGATAGACTGGTGACCTGTCCAGGGTGTCTCCTGCCTTCACCCTGAGTCAGCTGGGATAGACTCCAGCCCCCCCACGACCCTAGTGAGGATGAAGCGGTGTATAGATGATGGATGGGTGGATTTTGACTAATTTAAAACTAGCTGAACTAACCCCATGACATTAAGTCAGACCCGACCGTAGTAAATACATTGATTTGATCCTAATAAATTTGACTGGCTCAATCCAAACATATTAAGTTTGATCAACAAGATGGTGTTATGTTGAAAGAAAGAAATTTAATTATGTGGAAATCATTTCTGTAATTTTTTTTTACGTTCGTTCAAAGAGTGATTTTTGACTACACCTATAATTTCCTAGTCCATAGTTATAAAGTCATGGCTCCACATAGAAAAGAACCACCAGGGGGACTGACGAAGACTCACAAAGATGTAGAAGGACAGAGGAAGATCTGTGACCAACTAACAATCAGCAGTAATCAGGAGGTATAGAATGAGCCACTAATCAGAGCTGCAGTGGTCATCCTCCTAAATTTAGGGCGTGGACGGTGCTCTATTTGTGCATTCTACCTCAGAAAAACAGATGTTCAGGTGCTTCAGACTTAATCCACAAGTTATCAGAGGGACGTCGTAGCTTCTGTGACAGCTCAGATCCTATAAATAACCAAGATCAAGTTGTTCAGCTCAGATGTTCGGTGTGGACCCCGTCAGGTCCACCACGGTGAATGCATAGTCCCACCGGTGAGAGGTGAGAGTGTAATGAAACCAGACTGAGTGCAAAAGGTGTTTGGGAGACGGATTTGGCGAGATGACTTTCAGTCTGCGGAAGCTTGGCAGGAAAGGAATATTATAACACGATAACCCTGCAAAGCACGCTGCCAAAATCACACAAGAGATTGTAAAGAAGGAAAAAAGTGAAGAAATAAAAGAAACTATGACCTGGCCAAGCATGTGGCCTGACTGGAATCCAATATAACACCTTAGGCCTATTTCAAAGAGGAAGGTAGAGCAACACAACTCCTCTGTTGAAAGAAGTTGTCTCTGAATTACAGAAACCTCTCCAGAAGTTAGTGTAACGCCGTTATCCTCCACGATAAAGGTGGAAGTATTGGAATAATAAAAGATTTCAGTAATGAAAGGTGAACTGAGTCCTAAAGTGTGGCCTGTAATTTGAATTTCTTTTATTTCTAATGTAGTAAATCTAAATGAATAAGAAGAACATTGTAAAGAGCTTTAAACCCCAAAGTTTTAAAAGGCGCTATATAAGTGTTAAGGTTTATTTATTGGTAGCCAAGGGATGAAGTTGTTGTGCAGAAAAAACAGAAAAGACGACATTGCAATTCAACCAACAGACGATCACAATCAGGCCCAAAACAATACATCACAATACAGCATCCAGCCTCGTCGAGTGCTTTCCTGACCCGTCATGCACCCCCGTCTCCCACAGGAGCCTGAGGAAAAGCTCCACATGAGGGTGTGGACCGTTTACCATTTTAACAGTTTGTTTTTTTTAAAAATTGGCACCAGAGAAAAGACTCCACGGCTTAACCTGGAAGTACTGCGATTACTTTAAAGTGATACAGTTTGAGTCATTTGGCATTTAAGTGATATTAGAGAGGGGTGCACGCACGTCTGTTTATGTGCTGATTTCATTTTTCTTATAATACTGTGTTTAAACAGAACCCCTAAATATTGTCCTTTTGTTGAGCTGTAACTCCACAGCACCGTGATTCCTGTTTCTAGTCTTATGTCGGTGAATGTCTAATAACTAATTGAAGTGATGCTTTCGTGCAGTTTCCATTTTGAAGCAGCTTTGGTCAAGCTTACATGACTTGAGGCTGGTTCTGTTTGGTCTGTTCTGGCTCACAGGTTATTCAGAGTTTACCGAAAGTCATCATCGCACCAAATTCAAATTCTACTTTGCTGTTTATTTGCCTCCATAAAACAGCATCAAATTACTATATTTTTGACTCATTTAGTGGAGCTCCCCACCTACCTCCTAACTGCTGAAGTAGCCCTCAGCTGGGAGTCACTGATTTGCCAGATAGAGTAGCATGATTGCAGAGTAAAGTGAAGCTTGTGGGGTTTTTTTTATTTTTTCTGGCTCGCTCATAGAGAACATAAACTACCCTCTGATTCGGCGCTGCGTATTGGTTTAAAGAAAGGGTTTTTGTATGAAGTGTGAGAAACGTCTCCCAGAAGAGGCCCGCTCGGCGCTTTCATCCTCAGGAACAGGAGTAAACTCTGACTTATCTTAAACAGAAAAGAGGCTCAGTCGGCGTTGGGCTCGGCGGTGTTTAGTACCAGTCGTGAGGTGTTTTTTTTTTTGGAGTCCCTTGTGTCCTTTGCCATTTATAGCAACCATGCAAGAGGTAAAAAAAAAAAATAAAATCTGGGACAGTGGATAGTTTTTTACTTCTGTGCTGAGTAACAGCTGTAATGGGTCAGCTGAGCACAGCGGCTCCCACCTGCAGTGTTTCCTCGCAGCATTCATCATGGTTTTATGTCACATTGTGAGAGCATCAAAACACTATGATCGATATCTTTATCTGACTCCGGCTGCAAAATAAACCTGCCTGCTGAGTTTTCTACTACTCTGTTTGGATAAAGTCATCAGGAGTGAAGCTGCATTTTATCTGACTTGACGTACAGATGGAAAAAAAAAAGAGTTTATCTCAGCTATGATTGTTTTCTCTGTCTGTACAGTGTATTAATCTGTGGCTGATATAACACATCTTTTCCATCCTAAATAATAAATGAGATGTATGACCTTTGATTTGGATACAACACCGGAGCTCGGGAGACTTTTTACAGCGTTGTAACGTGTGGTAGGATTTGGCTTTTGTTTTGTTAACATCTGTAGTCGTGGTTTTAAATCAGCCCCCACTGTTGTGACTCATAAGGCATTCCTGTTGAATTCATCGTCAGTGGAAGGTTCTCGTGAGCCTAGTTGAAAGGGAATCACTTAGGGAAGAAAACCAAGCTTGATCAAAGTCTGTCATCCTCCACAAACGCTTCACACTGTGTTTGTTTGCTGCCTTTTGTTGTTTTGTTTTTTTTCTAAGATGGAGCCAAACTGCGCCGGGACACGTTTGTCATGACTTCCTTTTTAGTAGTAATAATTTAACACCTTCTTTTTTGTGCTGTTGTTAAAATGTTCCCCAACATAAAAAAAAACCAACAACAAATGATGAAGCAATCCATTTACCCCAGCAGCCTTCATTTTAGACAATTGTTCTGTTTTCCAAACTGGATGCATCCTTTCATTTCGGTTGCTGACACAGGAAGCGTTTTGTTCCAGGCTTGAATAATTCACATCCTGGAGCTTTGAGGTTTGCTCTCTCGTATCAGCTTGTGCAGCGCGAGTCCATTAACCTTGGTGTTTGCTTCTCTCAGGAGGCAGAGGGATCCTTGCCCTACCTGCTGGTGCTGTGCGGAGACCACGGCATGTCGGAGACCGGCAGCCACGGCGGCTCCTCGGAGCCAGAAGTCAATACGCCTCTGGTGCTCATAAGTCCGGCCTTCAAACGAAAAGGTAAACTGTCTGGTGTTGCTTTAAAAGGAGCAGAGGGCAGCGCACTTGCCATTAGCTCCAAGAGACGCTGTGATCTCATGTTGTCTCTGGCGACGCTGCAGCTTGTTTATGACAAGTATGTATCAGTCAAGTCAAGCAAACTTGTAGAGGAAACTTTTTTTTTTCCCATGTTCACACATAGCGCTCCATTATTTTCGGCGTGAGGAACAGTGTCACCAGTGCAAATAGAAGCTCTGGAGCAGAACTTCAGTTTGCAGTGATGAATGTGGTTGAGTGTGAACGTGTGATTGTGATAATTGCTTCTTTCTCAGCCTCGGTCTATTTCTGAGATCTTCTTTTGCATAGATTGTATTTATAGACCATTCATGTTAATTAATCATTTACAGTTCGGTTGAGTTGTTGCTACAGAACTTGTGGTTTCTCTCTGCTGCTGAGCGCGGTACCGGCAGTTTGAATGACCTTGCTTACAACATACCGCACGTTTTTCCTCTTTAACACCAAAATTATACCAATAATAGAAGGAAATCAAGTCAAACTGTGTCGTCTCATCAGTGAAATCCACCCAAAGCTGTGGCTACACCCTGAACTTATTCATGAGCTGGTCACTCGTGTGTCATCAACATAATTTTGTTCCATAAAGTTTATTTTCTATAAAGTTTATTCATGTGCATCAACACTAATCAAAGGCTGAACTGGTCGGTTTGTTTAAAGCTCCTGAAAAGTTTTCATTACTATTGAACTACAATATTAAATATTCATGAGCAAATAGGTGCAATATAAAACATTGTCAGGCCATTTATTAACAGTCTCAGGCTCAAACGCTCTGTGGACTGTGTGTGAGTGCATTGATCCCATTTGATTGAGTGATCAAAGAGCTCACCAGTCATCCCTACTTATATACAACCAGACAGTAGGAGTGAGTGAACTCCAGTGCTGTATCAGCTACATGGCAAATGATT